AGTTTACTATGTCACAATATTGACTTTAAATCAGATTGAATCATACATAATAATGAAATAATCAACCACTCCTTCTATACAGACATTCTGAACGTAGCAGCGATGTACACTGTAGCTTTCATCTGCGTTGATGTGATGATTTGTTCTCTGTTTCATCTCATTTGGTTGTGATATTTGTCCAGCTGGATGCTTAATGGCAGCACTGCTGCTTTCTCTACTGCAGCCAAACCCGCTTCATCAAGCTAAACAGATGTATGTGGATTTAATGAGACTGATAAGCAGAGAGACAAGTTACAGTGTGATAGAGTATGTCCTGGTTTCTGGTGCAGGCACTGCAAGGTGAATGAAGGGTAAATTACTGTGGGATACATACAGTATGTATATGAGCCTCAGTAGCAAATGGATGATGATTAATGAGAGCAGTTAATGCAGATAACCCCTGTGAGGATATAAAGATGTAGCTCATGTTCAGTTTTAAATTCCACATGAAGGTAAAAATTTATTAGAGCACATGATCAGTTCAGCAGCACTCTTTAATGTCTCCTCGTACTCCATTTAAAAGGATTATCCCTTCCTGGCTTCTGTGCAGTCTGGTGTGCCCCGTGTAAACACTGGAAAAAAGATAAATCTGATCTCAGAAGTTAGGATGTATGCAGTACAATATCTAATGCTATACTGTCAGAGGTCTACACTATCAGGTATCTTTCCTTTGGTTAAAATGACAATCTGTCAGTATGTTTACATGTTGGAATCTGGCTCTGGCTGGAGGGGATTTGGCAGGTTCTGCAGATAGACGCCCCCTGATCTGTACTTTAAGAGACATGAGAGACACAAGAACTTAAAGATGATGGATGTTTGATGAGACAGAATGAATGTGAGGATACTGAAAAATTGATTTACAATAAGAAAGCAGAGATAGAGAGAGAGAAAGAGACGGATATACTGTGATAAGGAGTGAAAATAGCCAATTGTGTGTGTGTGCGTGTGTGTGTGCGTGTGTGTGCGTGTGTGTGTGTGTGTGTTTCATACAGTTTTAATTTAATTAGTAATTTATCAAGTAAATCATTGCTAGTTACAGTTTCTTAAATATGAGGATTCCCTTGTTTTCTCAATTTCTTACACATATTTTACAACTGGGTTTAAGATAAGATGTTACTTTGGCCTCTGATATACCTGTTTGTGACATGCACTCAACAGTTAACCAATTATGAAAAAAACTGATGCCTGTGTCCTTTATTACAGCAGTTCTGGACTGAATATTGGCAGCAAGATTCAACAGCAAATATGATTTTGTGAATAGCTTCACGTTTGTGCATATTGCCTGAGAGAATGGCTCATACTGTTTATATTTACCGCATGTGTATTTTTTTCTGTCAGGGGATTAGTCCATATGCATTATTTTGGAGCAGATTGTGTGTTGAGTAAATAAAAACCAAGGATACACAAAACACACACAACCATCTTATTTGGCACAGAGCACAGTATCCAGAACGGAAAGGTCCATACGGTCCATTGTAGCTGTACTAGGACTGATGCCTTCACTGGCTTTCTACTACAACACTGTCTCAGTGGGAAAATAGCATGTCTGCTGCCAAAGTAGTAGTATGTTTATAGTTATTAAACATCTTTCCCAGTCAGTGATCAGTTCATGGAGCTCTGAGGAACAACCACTTCATCCACTGATAATGAAGTTTAATAAGTATTTACCCTCTACGGTCCTAATACCCCTGAGAAGGACGCTTCACCCCCGGCTGCTTTGTGGACAGCAGTAGAATACTGTTGCTATGAGAATATAAGCTTAGCCATTTTGTCTGGCTAAAGAACAGCTAACAAATGCCCGGCAGGGATGTAAATTCTGAGAGTTACTGCCACATGAATTAACAGCAGGGCAGTGTGGTTTATTTTACATAATTTGAATTTATTCCCCGAGCTGCTCCCCTCACAGACCATCAGTCATTTAAAACTAGAGTGTGAGGAACGATGAACATGTATCAGTTAGCATTTATTCATTTATTATTTAAAAAACACCATTAACACTGTAGATGTCAAGTCTTAATTTTAATTGCATGAAGGCAAAAATCTTTCACATAGTCCCAATTTTCAATATATTAATAATATCTTTAGCTTGGACTGAAGTTCCCATTATTACACAGTAATAAAAAGGTATGGAAATTGATGGTTATCATAACGTGTACCTTTTCTCAGCTATGGTATTGTATTACATTGTATTAGTGTTATAAAAAGAATTAATTCTACCATATTAGAGTTATTAAAAGAAATATAGGACATTGTGAAATTATAATAGTGTGTTTGTTTAGTGTTGTGTAGCTCAAAGCGTTTGCCCCGTGTGGACCATGTTTGTGCCCATGGTCTTATTGTTAGCCTTTGTCTTTGTGCTATATTGTCTTTTTACAACTACCAAAAGATGGCAGAATGATTTCACAAGGTGTCTAATGTTGCTAAAATCTCTCCAGGTTAGGATATGCGCACACAGACACACATGCACACAGTTTTAGGACTAACATGATAACTTGATGTTTATTCAATATCTCAGAAACATACCTCACCCTCTCACATAAGGAGATAGAGTTATAACAAAGAGAAATCAATAATAAATTAGTGTTTGTGCCTTCACTGAATTCCATTATTTCTCTATGTGCTTGGGGTAAATAGGTGTGTGTGTGTGTGAGGAATAAGACTGAGGGCAAATTGCACGGAGTATCATGTTTTTGAGATATTGAATAAGTGTCATGGCTACATCTGCTTGGCTTGTGGCCGACAGTTTCATTGATATGATATCAGCGAGAGATCTGTAAGTTGTGTAGTGTCACAAAAAACTGTTGTAGAACATTGGAAACACACACGCAGCCCAAGGCAGATTGGTGTCAGGGTTGTGAAGTGTGTTTCCCTGTTTTCACTAAAACACAATTAATCTCACAGCATGACTGAGTGTTGAAGAATGTGTGTGAATTCATCTGTGTGCTTGTATCTCATTGCAAGTTCAACAGAGAGATGTACTTTATGTTTAAATGTGTGTGTGTATGTGTGTGTATATGTGAGTGTGTGTGTGTGGGTGTGCAGGAAATGAGCAGGTGGGGGGGCATCAAAGCTGAAGTTAATTACAGGCCTTGAAGGCTGTATGTAAGTAATGAGTGATAAACGCTGAGAGTACA